ATCCTCTATATATATAAATAAATAAATAAATATATATATATATATATATATATGTATATAAGTCAACATTGTATGTCTCTCTCTCTCTCTCTACATATATTAGCGTGGGTGTGCGTAGATACAGATGTAGACATGGAGATTGTTCATCAATGTACGTGGTTATTTATATGTATGGGTTTTCTACAGGATCCAAAAGCATTAGCTGCTTTCCTCGCCTTTGAGACCCTAAACCCCTAAACCCTAAACCGGTGGGGCTTGAGCCCCGTGGGTGAACATTATGACAAAGCGGGTGTATTCATTGGAAGAAGCGCATGGGCTACCCCAATCCCTAAACCCTAGATCATTCCGAGCCCAAAAAAGTGTACAGTAGGATTATACAAGCCCCAAAAGGATAAAGGTTACCTACTCAATGACTAGGGTTCTAGGATACATGCATAGAGCTACATTACCCTAAACCCAAACCCCCAAACCCTAAAAAAACCTAAACCCTAAACCCGACATTGACGAGTTCTGCGGGAAGTATCCCAACCTCGGAAAGCGATCGATCCGCTCGAACCCCCTGAGACCCCTGAACCCTAAAACCCCTGAAACTCCTAAATCCTGAACTGCTTAGCCCTAGATTTAGGATTTAGCGTGTAGGTTTTCCCTAAATCCCTAAAGCATAAACCCTAAAACCCCTAAATCAAAGCCTAAACAACCCCTAAATCATGGCAGTCTTCTGGGCTTGACCGGGGCCGGACTTGTCCCCTTATAGAACCCCTCGCAGATCCCTTAAGGATGGATCCCTTTTCAGGAACCCTACTTAAAGGATCATGGGACTTAGTAAGTAGGGCTATGATTAAGGTAACTACATTATATTTACTTATACCCCCAATGAAAGGACTTGTAATTAGTAACCTTATTTACTAACCATGATCCTCCAAGTAAACCCTAAACCCCCCCCCCATATTTAATATTGAAACCCTAAACCCTTAAGGCCACTTGAAGGGACCCTAAACTCAGACCCTTTGGATGGATCCCATTTCAGGAGCCCTAAACCCTAAACCCTAAACCCTAAACTCTAAACCCTAAACCGTAGAAACCCCAAGACCCTCTTAGGAGTCTTAGGGTCCTTGGAGCATCGTGGGACTTAGTAAGTAAGGTACTAAGTCCCTTATAATTGGGGCTATAAGTAAATATAAGTATAGTTACCTTAGTTATAACCCTACTTACTAAGTCCCATGATCCTTTAAATAAACCCTAAACCGTACGGAACCCTTATAGATCCTTCGGAGGAACCTTCAGGAACCCTTGTAGAACCTCAGAAAACTAAATCCCTAAACCTCCTTCATCACCGGGCCATACTTGGAGGTTCATGGGTAGTTATAAGTAGAGTCCCAAGTCCCCTAATATGGGTTATAACTATAGTTACCCTACCTATAACTCCACCTATATCCCTAAACCCTGAACCCCAAACCCCAAAACCCTAAAACCCAAAATCTCTAAACCCTAAACCCCATACCCTAAACCCTAAATCCCTAAAACCCTAAAACTCTAAAGCCCTAAACCCTAAAACCCGAAAGCCCTAAACCCTAAACGACTACAGCCCTGAACCCTGAACCCACACCTAGAACTACCCATGAACCTCCAAGTAAGGCTTCTCTGAACCCTAAACTACCCTAAACGCGTATAGAGCCCTTATAGAGCCTTACAGGAACCCTTATTAAGGAACTTCAGAGCCCTAAACCCTAAACCTCCTTCATTACCGGACCATACAAGGCTTCTCTGCAGCGGACGGGACCAGGCCAGCTTAGCCGGGCTTGGCCGACTGGGATTTCTTACTCAAAGGATCATGGGACTTAGTAAGTAGGGCTATAACCAGGGTTACTATACTTATAACCCCAATTGAGGGACTTATAACCTTACTTACTAAGTCCCATGCTCCTCCGAGTGGGATTTCTTACCCCTGCTCAGGACAGGGCTCCTTTAGGGGTTCCTTAAAGAGATCGATAAGGATTCTATACGGGCATTAAGGGGTTCCTTAAAGGGATCTCTAAGGGTTCTATAAGGGCATCAAGGGGCTCTTTTAGGGGGGTTTGGGGTTTGGGGGTTTAGGGGTTTAGGGGCTTAGGGGTTTAGGGGTTTAGGGTTCAGGGGTTAGGGTTTAGGGGTTTAGGGTTTAGGGTTCCTTAAAGGGATCGCTGAGGGTTCCACAGGGGAATTAAGGGGTGCCTTAAAGGGATCGATAAGGATTCTATAAGGATTTCCCTATAGTGTTCTTTACGGATTAGGGTTTAGGGTTTAGGAATTCAGGGTCTTCGGGTTTGGGGGTTTAGGATGAAATCCAGCTACAGGTTTTGCAGCGTTAAATAAAGCTTAGAAATTGCTGGGTGATGTACTACCCAGCCCCTTCGAGTGGCAATTGCCCAGACATTGGGACAAATGCTCGGAATCGCTCTGCATCCACGCGGTGCCTCCCTTTAACCCTAAACCCTAAACCCGAAACCCTAAAATCCAGCATGGGCAGATGTGCTCTCCCTTCGGTCCACCCTAAACCCTACTTGGAGGATCATGGGACTGAGGCTTTAGGGGTTTAGGGTTTAGGGTTTAGGGGATCATGGGACCAAGTAAGTAAGGTTATAAGTCCCCTAGTTGGGGTTATAAGTATAGTAACCTGAGTTATAACCCTGATTACCAAGTCCCATGATCCTTTAAGTAACTACCCTAAACCCTACCCTTCCAAAAAAGCCACTACGGTCTGGAAATCAGGGCTTTGAGTGGTCGATTTTCGGGGCTTATGACCCCGAATCTTGTTGACACTCTCAGCACGTCAGGTTCTATAGGGGCCTTGATAATTTACAATAGGGTTTGGGGGTATACTATACTATAATTACAATAAGGAACCCCCCAAAAAAAACCGTATTCTAATTATTAAGGCCCCTACATTGGGCTTCTGATGCCACCGATGCTCCAGCAACCGCATGTTGGGCTGGTTCTGCAAGGCACTGGTGCCCCATGGAGAAAGGGTTTAGGGTTTAGGGTTTTGGGTTAGACATGTTCGACAACTATGAACTCAATATTAGCAACAGCCTACTTACAGCGGTGGCAGCCGCAACCGCCACCGCCACCGCCACCGCCACCGCCACCACCACCACCACCGCCACCACCACCACCACCACCACCACCACCACCACCACCACCTGCAATCATCCTCACCAGCACCATCACCATCCTCCTCCTGGCCACCATCACGTTGTGGCCACATCATACCCGGTAACAACGAACTACACAAGTTCAGAACAGTTCGAAACCCTGAACAAACTGGCTCCGGTGTAAGCGCGGGCATCCAGCGGGAAAAAATGCAGAGGAGCATTGCAGCTCTATGGATACTAAGGGAGTTCTGTGCAAGCGCCACTAGAAGGTTTAGGCATTCGTCTTCTGCGGCCTCCAGCTTGCTGTAAGGCTCCCAGGGTTTAGGGTTAGGGGTTTAGGCTTTGGGGTTTAGGGTTTAGGGTTTAGGATTTAGGGTTTAGGGTTTAGGCTTTGTGGTTTAGGTGTTTAGGGTTTCGGCTTGCCTTGGGCGCTAGGGCTTGGGATATGATTGTGCCGGTCCGAGAGACCGAAAGGGGCGGTCCACAAATGGGGCTGGAAGGTTTAGGGTTTAGAGTTTAGGGTTTAGGCAGGGCGGAAGGACATTTTAGGGATGGGACGGTTAGGATTTGGAAGTAAAGGATTAAGCTTCCGGAGTTTATGGGTCTGAGGGTTTTTGTGCTTAGGATCAAGGCATGCGCGGATGTATGTACAGTGGGGAGATGTGCCTTAAGCTTTTTTGGTGGCTCGCTCTCTGGGCCCCTATTGAAAGTTCAAAGCTGTAGAAATGAAGAACGGCCCCTACAGCCCAATATCGGGCCGTACGAAAAATACAATGGGGTTTTGGGGTTTTCATAGTATATTTATAATAAGGAACCACCAAAATGATATAGGTGATTATTGAGGCCCCTTGAATAAACCGCGAAAATCCAAGAACTGTCGGTAGCAGCCGGCAGGTCACTCACAGCCTTCCGAAGCAATGGAAAGATTCAGGTTCAGGGTTTGGATTTAGGGTTTAGGGTTTAGGGTTTGGGGGTTTAGGGTGGCGGTGATAATGTTGATGAAACCAATCCTGCATTACCTTAAGGACCCTAAACAATGGAACTGGGGTTAGGGTTTAGGGTTTATGGTTTAGGGTGTTTAGGGGTTAGGGCATTACCTTAAGGACTCTACACTATGGGAATTATGGTATATTCCGTATTATGGGTAATGCAGGATTTAGATCATTAACCGTAGCTTGGTGGTGCTGGTGATGGGGGGGGGGTAAAGGTAATGGTTGTAGTGGTATTGGTAGGGTTAACCACGTTCGCTGACGAATGTAAGTTTAACTATCCAGTGCGAAAATGACTCCGACGAAGGCTTTGTCCCCATCAGCATCATCGTCACCACCACTACCAATGCCCGCCGTAGTAGTACCATCGTCACTGTCATCCAAAGGACAATATCCATCATCAACACCATCAGCAGCACCAACACCGCAGTCATCATCATCATCATCATCATCATCACCATCATCATTATCATCATCCTTGGTTTCGCTGTTTCGGGCGCGTGGGTCAGCGGTCGAGAAAGTCAAGTTGGAGGCCCATTTGGGATCTGATATAGAAGTCCGAGCCGTTACCAATACTAATACTATCCCTTACAGTTCCCATTATACTTATGCCATATTTTACCCCGCAAACGCTATTTGAAAAGTACAGGCCTTGACAAGCTGGCTCCGAGGAATACTTTAAATAACCAGGGCAGAAAACCCCCTCCCTCCGACACTTAGCCCTCATGCTTGTGGAGCCCTGCAGGGAACCCCAGGCATTTAGGGTTTGGGGTTCAGGGCCCTGAGAAAAGAAATTCCGAGCCCCAACCTTCAAGCAAACAAAACTCCCAACTCCGAAGACTAACCATAAGAAGCCCTTTCTAAGTAATGGCTCACGGACCGCCCATTGGCGGTAGGCGTTCTGCAGGTCGTGACCGAAGACGACCGGGTCCCAACCCTCGCACCAGGCCGCGAGGATGAAGTCGACGATGTCGCCAAGGAAGTGGTGCGTGGGAACGTCGTCGGCCCCCATGGTCGAGTTGTGGCCCGACCGGCGCCAGTCCTCGCCCCGACGAAGCTTGAGGTCGCCATTCTCCTCGACCTGGCAGATGGCGAAGGACAGGGCCGCGAAACAGTCGCCCGAAGGTGGCTGGCGCAAAGTCCTCATGTCGGCCACCCCGGGCAGGCCGCCGTGGCGACGGTCCAGTGATCCGGGGCCGCGCACGGCGCAACGACCCGTCCCAGGCGAGTCTCCTGCACGAGCTCCTCCAAGAGTGCCCTGGTGTGTTCGCCCGACAGGCTTCGAGAGCACTTGGCCGCGACATAGGCGGGAATTCTCCGCCCTGAGCCCATTTTGGAACTCCGAACCCTAATACTAGCAATAAGTCCTCCCCCTGCAAACAAAACGAAACCTAAACCTTAAACCACAAATCCTAAACCCCAAACACAAAAAATGTGAAAACAACTAAACCTTCTGATGATATAAATCCTGCATTACCTTGAGGACCCCAAAACTACGTATAGGAAAAGTGGTATATTCCATATTATGGGTAGTGCAGATTATACATATCTATCTATCTATCTATCTATCTATCTATCTATATATCTCATCAACCCCAAACCCTAAACCCTAAACCCTGGACCCTAAACCCCAAACCCTGAACCCTAAATCCTAAACCCTAAACCTTAAACCCTAAACCCTGAACCCTATGACCCCTAAACCCTAAACCCTAAACCCTCAGTTCTAAACCCTTAAACCCTAAACCCTGAACCCTAAACCCTAAACCCTAAACCCTAGACCCTAAACCCTAAACCCTAAAACCCTAAATCCTGGGCGCCTCCTAGGTGTTGCCCGTCTCCTGGAGCCATGACTTTCCTTCTTCGAAGGCCTGCATTTGTCATCCATGCGGCGAGGGTTTAGGAGTTTCGGGTTTTATGGGTTATAGGGTTTAGGGTTTGGGTTCGGGGTTCAGGGTTTAGGAGTTTCGGGTTTTAGGGGTTATAGGGTTTAAAAACTTGAGGGTTTAGGGTTTGGGCTTCAGGGTTTTAGGCTTCAGGGTCTGAAAACTTTAGGGTTTAGGGTTTGGGCTTTAGGGTTCAGGGTTCTTGGGTTTAGGGTCTGGGGTTTTAGGGTTTAGGGTCTGGGGCTTTAGGGTTTAGGGTTTAAGGATTTAGGGCTTGGAGCTTAGGGTTTTGGGTCGAGGTTTGGGATTTGGGGGCTTCGGTTTAGGGCTCCTGTAGGGCTCGCTAGTGTTGCTAGTGGGATTCGGTTTCATAGCAGCCCGGCCCCCCTCAAAACCCTAAACCCTATACCCTAAACCCTAATTAACGGTTTAGGGTTTAGGGTTTAGGGTTTAGGGTTTAGGGTAGGGGTTAATTACTAAACCCTAAACCCTCAAGAACAACAACACCCAAGTCTCCAATTGCTCGTGTAAGTTGGACCCGTCGAGACCCACCACAAGAGACTCCAAAACCCTTCCAACACCCCAAATCATTGGGTCCTTTCGGCTTAGAGTCTGGGGCGTAACTAATATAGGGTGTGGGGAGGGGGGGGCCTAAACCCTAAACCCTAAACCCTAAACCCTAAACCCTAAACCCTAAACTCTCAACCCCTAAGCCCTAAACCCTAAACCCTGGGATACTTGCAATCAGGCTTCTAACGTATGCCCTGATACTCCCGGGCCCTTGGAGCGAGATCCTAAGACCTGGCCTCCAACGCCGAAAGCCTCCCCGAGAAAGCCCAAGTCCCAAGACCCTCTTAGGAGCCTTAGGGCAGGGTTTAGGGTTTAGGGTTTAGGGTTTAGGGTTTAGGGCTTAGGGTTTAGGGTTTAGGGCAGGGTTTCGGGTTTAGGGTTCAGGGGTTGGTGGTTTAGGGTTGAGAGCCTTAGGTGGGGTGGGGCCTTGAACTACGCAGGCCTCGTCGAGGAAGTAGTACGCTTCGTAGACCCGATCCTGGAATCTAGACAAAGACGCGAAGTTCTCGGGTTGATATAAGGGCTTTAAAATAAATGGGACAGGGTTTGGGGGGTATAGAATAATTTCATTCTCTAGAGGGGCTATAGCGGGATATGATTACGTAACCCTAAACCCTAAACCCTAAACCCTAAGCCCTAAACCCTACACCCTAAACCCTAAACCCCGCTTGAAGCTGTAAGTGTGTGCACAGCCTTGCAATGTTTTGGAGGTCGTTGCTGGGGATGTACCTCACTTCCCCAATAAGCCAGGTACATAAAAGGGTTTAGGGTTTAGGGCCAGGTACATAAGAGGCTAAACTTTCACAATTACTATATTGGTTTATAAGAACCCAAAAAATTTAAAGATTGTGTATTGGAGAACTTAGGTACTAAAGAGTTCTCAACGATGTTTCGGATTCAGAGGATGAGAGTTTATGGTTTCACGGTTGAGGTTGTAGGGGCTCAGGTTAGATCCTCAAACGGGCATGCTGGTCGAATACAGGGGTTACGGTTACAGCTTAACCCTAAGGGTCCATGTGCCCCAGTAGTAGAGCCTCAAAGTACCCAAATAGGGACTACTTTAAGGCCAAAGTATATACTATTTAGGTACATGGACCCTTGGGGTAATTTGCCTTCAGGCTCTCTGAACAGGGCTGACATGTTCAGGCTCTTGGGGACAAACACCTGATTTCGGTTTAGGGTTTAGGGTTTAGGGGACTATGTGCGCCCGAGGGTTTGGGTAAGTCACCGACTCAGAAGAGAGCTGATTGGGGAAACTCTTGTTTCTTCTCGAGCTCTTGATATATAATAATGCGCGGATTAGGGTTTAGGGTGTAAGTCTTAGGTCTGGGATTTAAGTTCTTCTAGAGCTCCTACTCGTGAGGATCCTCTTGCCTGAAGAGGTTCCTACACAAGGGGTAGTTGCTTTTGTTCAAACCGGCTGAGGGCCAAAATCCTTTAGGGTTTACCTTAAGAGCCCAAAACCCACTTTTTTGTAGGCTCTTATTATAAACCCTAATATGGGATTTATAGGGACCCTACAAAAAAGTAGGTTTTGGGTTCTTAGGGTTTAGGGTTTAGGGTTGATTTTCAGGTGAAGCGGATTTCGGCTATCAGGCTTGTGGGTCACCCTGAACCCTGAACCTTAAGAGACAGAAGGAAGGTGATCGAAAGGGTTTAGGGTTTAGGGTTTACGCGCTCCCCAAAGTGAAAAGCTGGCTAAGGGCTTTGAGTTGGGGCTCAGGGCTTCGAAGGAAGCCCACCCTCAACGCAAAACCCTAAACTCAAAAACCCTAAAACCCGAAACCCTAAACCCTGAACCCCGAACCCCAAAACCCTAAAACCCTAAACCCTGAACCCCGAACCCTAAACCCCAAAGACTAAACCCTAAACCCCTAAAACCCCCAAAACCCCCACAACCCCCAAAACCCTCTAGAACCCCTAAACCCCGAAACCCCCTAAACCCCTAAAACCCCCCAAAAACCCCCTAAACCCCAAAACCCCCCAAAACCCCTAAAGCCCAATATCGTAGCCCTAAAGGTTCCCTTAAAGGAACCCTAAACCCCCAAAACACCCAACGAGCCGGTTTAGGGTTTAGGGTTTAGGGTTTAGGGTTTAGCTCCCAAAGAGCCCAAAGAGCCCAAAACTCCAATGCCCAGGAGCTCGGCCCCCACAGAAGTCGGCCATCTCATCGTCGACTTTGTCAGGGTGCAATCGCAAGGCGATGGCTCCTTGGAGTTCAGCGGCTAAGGGTCGACAGAGCTAAGAGTTCCGTTAAAGGGTTTAGGGTTTAGGGTTTAGGGTTTAGCTAAGAGTTCCGTTAAAGGGTTTAGGGTTTAGCGTTTAGGGTTTAGCTCAGAGTTCCGTTAAAGGGTTGAGGGTTTATGGCTTTAAGGGTTCCTTTAGGGCTCTCGACTTAGGCAAGCGCAAGGCAAGGGCTTCTTGGAAGTGTAGGGCTTAAGGCTTATAGGGTCCAAGCTTTGGGCGTTAGGGCTTTCGTGTTTTGCGTTATAAAATGCTGAAAACTGGGTCTATGTTACAGGGTTTCTGCACAGTAAGCATGGCACAGTACTGGCTTAGTTCTAGATACAAAAACTGAGGATCTAATGGGCTTGGAAGGGCTTTTAGCAAGGGTTTAAACGGTTTACACAACAACGACCCAGCACTACGCCTTCAGAGCTCTAGAGCAAGTGTAAGACATGCAAAGCAAACCACAACTGTTTGATTAAGTACCCTAAGGGTCCAAAGGACCCAATAATAAGGTACTTTGGCTTCAGATAATAGCTACCTAGGTTCATGTTTGGGAGAGTGATTTTAGGTACTTGGACCCTTAGGGGTATGACAGACAATTGGACATGTTTAAGTGGCTTACCCACCCCTTACCCTCCGTCCTAAACCGCTAAAGTCTAAAAACTGAAGCTGAACATCGTGTTTGGTGCTATGATGTAATTTAGGAAAACTCCTTGATCAAGGGGTAGGCCCTCTGGGTATCTACAAGCCCTGGTGGATTATGATTCTACAAACTCCAAGAAGGAACGTGTAATCCTAAGCCACCCTAAACCCTAAACCCTAGACCCTAAGCCCTCAGCCCTAAACCCTCAGCCCTAAACCCTAGACCCTAAACCCTAGACCCTAAACCCTAGACCCCAAACCCTAAACCCTAAGCCCTAAACCTTATAGACTTATTGACCCTAAACCCTAGACCCTAAACCCTAGACCCTAGACCCAAAACCCAAAGCCCCTTGCAATACGGTGGTGGATCCAGGCCACCGAGTGGCCCCTCCGTCAATGACGAGTTGAATCGCCCTGCAGTGCTCAGACCCAGAGACTCCAAAGCCCCTTAGTTAAGGAATATACCTTTAAGGGTTCCTTTAGGGGTTCCTTATAAAGGGATTTATAAGGGTTCTACAAGGGCATTAAGGAAGAAATACTTTAAAATATAATAGGAACCCTAATGAGATTTAGGGCATGTTCCACAATTAAGGGGTTTTGGGGTCTCTGGGTGGTCAGAGGTCAGGATGGCCGCAGCACATTCCGCGAGATCCGTATCAGCCTGTGACCCCCCGCTCTCGGAAAGATCCGCGAAGACGGCGGTAGAGGAGACTTCATGCCCTAAACCCTAAACCCTAAACCCCAAACCCTAAACCCTAAACCCTAACCCTCGCTTGCTTTGGGTGCAAGCGATGGATCGCCGTCGGGCCCAGCTGATGGTTTACCAAGGCACCCTAAAGCATCACAGAGGGTTTAGCGTTTAGGGTTTAGGGGTTAGGGGTTTAGGGGTTTAGGGTTTAGGGTTTAGGGCCCCTCTCTTGCTTCAGGTACTTGG